ATCGTGGAGACTTCTGTGTTTGGGATCGTCAGTTCGAGATTTCAAGAACTGCTGACGCTAAAACAAAGCATTCGGCTAGATGAATGTAATACCCTGGTTCTCAGCAATGTTTCTGCGTGAGGGAGTCACTCAGTTTTTGTATGCTGCTTACATAAAAACATCCTGAAGCTCTGAAGACCATTTTGCTCCGACAAGTCATGTTTCGTCAGTTCTCACCGCGTGTCATTTTCGACTGAAGAATCTGTGATCACTTCAAGTCTGTAGGATCTTCTAATGTTGATGTCAAACTAGTTTTAAAGATTTAAAAATCAACGATTAAAGACCACTATTAGACCACTGAACTGAGGTGGCATAAATAAACGGCGCCATAGGTTGCGAGTGTGAATTCTTATATGAAATCTTAAAACTTGAGGTCAGAGTTTTCTAGGAATTTGAAGCAGACCCAGGGGTCAGCCTTTACTAAGCCGCCGCGCCGATTAATCTTTCTCTTTCTACGTTTGCTATCCTCACTGAGTCATCTTATACTGATTTCACATGCACGTATACATGAACTAACATCTAATATTCTTAGATTATAGCATATGACATTTCTGGTTTCGGATGTATTTGTTGTCTGGATGGTTGTTAGAGTAATTTTGGAGCCAGCCTGCAGGTATTAAAGCCTAACATCACACAAACAACTTCTTGCAGAAATGTGCTAGTGCTGTTTCTGTTCCTTTTTGGCTAGGTTTGCTTTGTAGAGAAAAAAAAGAATTTTATTGCATCTACAAACTTTAACACAAAATTATATTCTTTTCAAAATCTCAGCCTCGGGTTTATTCTTAAAACATTCTTAAAAATTCGCAAATTTCAGCCTCGATATTCTTATAAAACATATTTTTTATAAAAAAAGGAGTGTAGGTCGCGCCTGTACGAGATTGTGAATTGTGAATTGTGAATTGTGAGTATTTAGCTTCTTTTTGTTCTTTGTTTATACTCGCGCAGGATCGGTGAATGATGCTTCAAGTACGGCGTCTTAGTTATTTGTGAAACTGAGAGTTTCCGGCACTTTCAGTCTAAACGGTAGACTTTCCACTTGTCGACCTTAACTTTCAACTCGAACGAAACGACTCTGTTTTCTCCCACGGTTGTGAAATTCAGAGCGCGAGCGACGTAAGGTGGCGAAACCAACTGAAGGCAGGAAAGTATTATTGGAAAGGACTTTTTAGAAACTCTTACTAAACACGTACAATAAATCAGTACAAAACAAGTGATGTATGAGATGTCAACTGAAAATTGCGATTGGAAAGTGTTTACTAGTTATATAGCCGTTTGGTTACGCAGTTGGCCGCTAGACGCAAACGAACTGATAATTTCAGTCGGAAAGACTCGCTTGGTGAAAAAAAAAATTCTTTTATATTGATTAATAAGATTCGTTTGCTGAAACTTTCTGTTCCTATTAAAGAATCAAACAAGCCATGCAGCAAAGGTGAAGGTAGTAGAAATTATATCCAATTAATATTGGTCAAAATTAGATTCTTGTTCTGGGAAAATTAATAAGTCTACTATTTTAGCTTCAGTTGATATCTAATTAAATTTTAAAGAGAAAACCTTTTGAGAAATAAAGAATGCAAGGAAGTGCGATTTTAGTCACTGAAAATTTCGATATTTCAACGTCTTTAATGGAATGTTATTAAATAACCTATCTTATTTAAGATGGGTTACATTTCAGTCCCCCGGGAGGACTCACTTATGAAAAGGACAGGGGTGCTATTCGGAAATTTTGAAAAGAACCCCTAAGAGGTACCAAGATCCTGTTTTGTGGGCGTAGCTTGAAATTTTTTTCACCATATGCCTAGGAGGTACCAATTCTAAAACAAAACATTATTTCCTGTCATATTTTCTGGGCTCAATACCCTAAAAGGTATCGCAAAAGTTCCCACTGTGGAGCTTTTGAGGCTAGGGGTACCCTAAGAGGTACCAAAACCGCTTTTTTTAATCCCTAAAAGGTACGACGAGCACCCCGTCTTTTATATACGGGAGTCTGCCCCCCGGGCATTCATCATTAGCGCTGAATCTTGACATACCATTGAGACGTCGACTTGTGGCAGGAGTAACAGCTGACCGTCAGGCTGATAGGTGCGAGCAGCCTCTCTTTTGCTCGGAAATCCGTGGGAAAGAAAAGCTTTTTCAGCCTTATATTTCATTTATGATCCAGTTCGTAGTCTTTTAATACGCTTAACATGACCTTACATAACATAACATTATTTAAGAAACAAGCACGTTCCTCTTGCATGATATGCACAGTGTTTGCAAAGGGTACAACTCTCAGTTCAGTTCAATTGAACTGGTTTGCTCCATGTTATTCGAGATTACTGCCCACGTTATTAAAACGTATTTCCTGTTCCCACATGTAGTTTCGATTCCAGGCATTTACAATGTACTTTGTTCTCGGCGGTGTGAGGTGCACGTGCCATGTCACGCAGTAACTAAACAGTGTTTCTATAAAGGGTACAAGTGAATTCCCGGGAGAGGGGTACTGCCTGATA